TTTGCCTAGCCCTGTCTAAAACATTTTTTAAAATTACATTATGAGCCTCAATTGAATCTGCAAATATTAACAAATCATCTATGTATATATTAACGCCGTTAATATCCTGAAAGTTCTCAGACAAATATTTTTGGAAAACCTCTGCCGAAATATTAAGACCAAACGGTAAACGTTTGAAAGAATATAACCCAAAGGGTGTTGAAAATGTACAATACTTTGAACTGTTTTCATCCAAAGGTATATTCCAAAATGAATCTTTTAAATCCAACACACTAAAGTATTTAGCATTTTTTAACTTACAAGCCAGGTCCTCAAGCTTTGGAATTTCAAAATAATCTTTAACAATACACTCATTTAAATATTTAGGATCAAGACAAAGACGCAGGCTTCCATTTGGCTTTTCAACAATAACCAAACTGTTAACCCATTCAATTGGTCCATCTGCTTTGCATATTATATCTAATTTACACAATCTGTCTAATTCATGTTTTAGTTTATCCTTTATTTTTAAAGGTACTCTATGTGGTGGGTTAGAACAAGGAATTGCATTGGCTTTCAACTTAATACAATATTTTTTAGAAAATTTACCAATTCCGCTAAATATATCATTATACTGATTCATAACATTATTTTTAGTTATTACAATCTCTGAGCATTCCTGTATACCATTAGATTTTTTAATCAACTTTAGCTTAATACACATTTCAAGACCTATAATGGGAGTGAAATTATTATTAACAATTATAAATTCCACACTATACTTTTCATTTTGTACTGTAACATTTAATGTTATGTCTCCTAACACATTTATTGATGTACCATTATAAGCATGTAGTTTAACCTTACTCTTATTGTTCAAAACTAACTGTTGTTCTGACTGTTGACTAATTAATCTAAAGATATTTTCAGGAATGAGATTAACATCAGATCCTGTGTCTAATTTAAAATCAATTAAAACATTTTCAACATGCAATTTATGATACCATGATATGGAGTTTACTGACCTTACATCACTGACACTTATCATTTCACAGAAATATTCCTCTTCTGTATCATGCATATTTACTTCTTTTACTTTTTTATCCTTCCGAGTTTTACAAACCAATGAGAAATGGTTATCCCGTCCACACCTTGAACATGTTTTTCCCCATGCTGGACACTTTTTTTTGTCACATTCATGTGATCGTCCACACCATTTACAATCAATAACTTTAATTTTCATCCATTCTTTTTGTGACTTTTCTTTTGAAGACACTTGCTTGATTTTATCAACACTAGATGATGCTGTTTGGCACACCTTTTGGGCTTGTACTTTCTCCAATTCAGCTATTTTAAACAACTTAATAACTTCATCCAGTGAAACTTTTTCTGTAGTTATTATTTTTTGTTTTGTTTCATTGTCTGCCGATCCAAAAACTAATCTATCTCTGAGTATTTCGTTTTCGTCTGTGAATTCACAATCTCTTGCCAACGTTTGAACATCTATTAAAAAGGATTCAAATGGTTCATCTATTCCTTGTGCACGTTCATAAAACAGGTGCCTACAATATAAAATATTTTTCTTTGGGTTGCATACCTCTTGAAACTTATCTAAAACAGCTGCATATGTCTCTTCATTTTCTTCGAACTTGAAGTTGTTATATGTTCTTAGACCGTCGTCTCCAATACAATTTAGAAGGATCGCTATTTTAATATCATCAGTTTTTGACATCTGCCCTGACGCTCTTAAATAGATATTAATAGACTGTTTAAAAATCTTCCAATTTTCACTCACATTTCCCAACATTTTAAGTGGTTTCGGCAAATTAAATCCAGACATTTTGGCGGACTTTTCCACGTGTTGCAAACTTTTCACACTGACTTTTACGTTTACGTTATTTACACAATTTATATACATATAGTTTCACTGACTGCGCCATGTATTATTATTCTGTTTTTATTAGTAAAACAACATTGTTAACTCTTATTACTTTTATTGTACATCGTTACTTAACATGTGTATTACATTGGCGACCATGTTGTCCCGCACCTCAACTGTTAACTGTCTACTGTCAACCAGTGTTGCCAACTCACAACATTCATAACTTACTATACTACACAAATCATATGTTTGTGTCCTCCTAAAACATGGCGCGCGTGCTGAAAAGCACTGTTTGTGCTTTTCACATTCATCAAAATCTCACATTGTTTATTATTCTGTGGTCATAGTATCATGGGCTGATCTATCGATGGATTCATACATGATACTAAGATAGAAGATAAGATATTGCGCATGTTTTTGTGACGTCATTGGAGAGTTGCACGTTCGAAATGTCAGTTTTTTGTATATGTCAATAAATAATCTTTAATAAATAGTTTTTAGATATCCTTATGTGTACAATTATTGTAATTATTGAACTTCTTAACTTATTTTGGTCTAGTAATTTCATCACAGAATGCGTACAAATCCCATTTAACTTTAACAAGAATTCAAATTCTACTCTCCAATGACGGCATGCGCGAACACGACCGATTTTGGGCTACGGGAAGATCTTATCTTGTTATTCATAGTATCATGGATTCATATACCCGGTTCGCTATTCCCAGTCCGAACTGTCTAGTGATTTTAGTAATTATTTTTTTGCGAAGTTAGTTACTTTTTGACAGACTCGAAGTGGCTGGAAATTACTATACAACCAAGCATACGTGCTCTTAGTCAATATTAATGTAAACAAAAGTAAATAAAATAGAACTTTGCCGACAATCAATATTTATTTATTTACACCGTATAATGTATTGATAACAAATAATAAAATTATTTATTGTACAAAATAAAAAAGTGGGAATAAATTCTACAAAATTAAAAAGTCAAAGTGAGGTTAAATAAGACACAGCAAGTTCCTTATGTTGTGACTAGGATGGAATCAATGATTAAAGATTAACAGTTCATTGGATAGCACTAACATAAACTGTTGTTTTATTATCTTACAAAATAAGTGTACTTCCATATGCTAAAAGCAAATATTAGTAATCTGAATAGGCAAATTCGTGGTTCAATAGTAATTTTTGCTCATTAGCATTTAAGGATGTTAAAATCTTCCACATATGGTGAATGAATTCAGTGTCCTTGCCGCAGTCTGCAGTCATATAAACCCAAACAAACAACAAAAACCTCCATGTAAGTATAAACAAGTTTATATTAAATTAGAAACAACTAATCTAAAAATATTAACTTTAAAAAAACATTTTATCATATTTATTAAGAAAAACTTACCAACGCATTAGCTGATGGAACAAATGGAAAACTTTGACTATCCATAATAATAAAATTTAAAATATAACTAACTAATTAACTGAATAGAACTAACAAAAGAATTAAACAAAGATAATAAAACTATATTAAATTAAATAAACAACGCGAATAATACAAATATTTACTACAATATTTTAAATTGTAACAATTCAAATATTATATTTTAAATATACAGGGAAAATTTGATGGGTTTAGTATACACTTCCACTATTTAGAATAATTCTTCTTTTTTTCAAAGAAAGAAGTCTGCAATAGTAGTATACTTGAGCTATTAATACTGAGAAGTAGGAATTGTTGTGTTGTAGGTTTCCGACAATGAGTCTGTCAAAATATGCCCTAGCTAAGCGAATAGACAATATACCCGGTTCGCTATTCCCAGTCCGAACTGTCTAGTGATTTTAGTAATTATTTTTTTTCGAAGTTAGTAACATTTTGACAGACTCAAAGTGGCTGGAAAATACTATACAACCAAGCATACGTGCTATTAGTCAATATTAATGTAAACAAAAGTAAATAAAATAGAACTTTGCCGACAATCAATATTTATTTATTTACACCGTATAATGTATTGATAACAAATAATAAAATTATTTATTGTACAAAATAAAAAAGTGGGAATAAATTCTACAAAATTAAGAAGTCAAAGTGAGGTTAAATAAGAATAAGACACAGCAAGTTCCTTATGTATTTACAACATTTACATAATTCGATAAAATACATTTTAATGATCAACTTACCTCAACAGGGTTTTTATTCGGTAAAAAAAAATAGTAGGCATTTTGAATAAACCTTTGTGCAGTTTTATTACCTTGTAATCTAGGAACAGCATCCTTACTAATCTAAAAATATTAACTTAAAAAAAACTTTTTAAAAAACATTTTATCATATTTATTAAGAAAAACTTACCAACGCATTAGCTGATGGAACAAATGGAAAACTTTGACTATCCATAATAATAAAATTTAAAATATAACTAACTAATTAACTGAATAGAACTAACAAAAGAATTAAACAAAGATAATAAAACAATAAAACTATATTAAATTAAATAAACAACGCGAATAATACAAATATTTACTACAATATTTTAAATTGTAACAATTCAAATATTATATTTTAAATATACAGGGAAAATTTGATGGGTTTAGTATACACTTCCACTATTTAGAATAATTCTTTTTTTTTTCAAAGAAAGAAGTCTGCAATAGTAGTATACTTGAGCTATTTATACTGAGAAGTAGGAATTGTTGTGTTGTAGGTTTCCTACAATGAGTCTGTCAAAATATGCCCTAGCTAAGCGAATAGACAATATAAGTTTTGTCTCCTGAATCAAAATCTGAAAACGGCATTTTGATATCTCAAACCAGAGAACTACGAACAGTTCTCTGTCTCAAACCATCTTCGACATAAGCCACAGAATGTGGTATAGCATCAAAGTCAAAAATAGTGACGTCACAATCCTTCTAAATATACATTCGTTTCTGCTGACACAAATAAATGTTAAATCAAAACGTCGACAAAATTTTATTTATTATTGTTAATGTAATGTTAAATGTCTATCTACCCAATAATATAAGTATTTTCTGTAAGTTTTCCACAAGAAGAGGTCATTTTTTTATAGTCATCTGTAACCGCGCTTAGATTGTCTGAACGCACCCACTATCTTTAAAATTACTTTGACAGTATACTTCATTTGTCAAATGTCAATCGAATACTATTCTGTGCCGATTAATGGGTATCCAATATTTTGAATTTTTATTTTTGTTTAATTTTGGTTTAACATGTCTTCATCAAAAATTATCGAACTGGATGAAACCAACACATGCAAAATGTAAGTTACGTTAAGTTTTAATGATCATTTTAGTATAGTTTACGTTTCAGCTGCGATAATGCTCTTGCAAAATACTCATGTCCCAAGTGTAATATATTATATTGTTCTTTAAATTGCTATCAAGCCAATTCACACTTGGAATGCAGTGAAAGTTTTTATAAAGACAATGTCTTTGAAGAACTTAAATTTGACAAAGAAAGCCCAGAATCTAAGGAGAAAATGGTAGAAATTTTAAAGCGATTTCATGATCGAAATCTACTACCTTCTGCTGATATAGACGAATCGTTTGGAGAATATTCAGGATTTTCTATTGAGGATATTTTAAATTTTGATCCTGGAGAATCCGATGAACTCGACTCTGATGATGAAGATGTGATGTTAGATATTGGAGAAAGATTGCAAGGGGTTAATTTAGATGATGCTGAGAAAGTATGGGATAAACTTACAGATAGTGAAAAGCAAGATTTCGTAGCTTTTTTAAAGTAAGTAATAACATTGTTTATATTAACTACTCAGGTATTTTAATTAGAAAAGCAACCCTGTTCATTTTTATTTAATATATTGTGATAAAGTGATGACTTTAAGAATAATATATGAAATAAAAAAAAAATAAATAATTGTGGTTCTAGATCAGAAGATGTTTCTAATTTGATACCTTCTTGGCAACCTTGGTGGATGGTTTATAATTCTACCTTGGTAGAAGAAGTTGAAAAAGTGGATGATTATAAAAAGGATTGCCCAAAAATATGTTCCATTAAAGATTTCTCTATATTAAGTGTAAGTAGTTACAGTATTTAATATAATAATTTTTATTGAAAATTATAATAATTATTTTGATCTTATGATCCGTACAGGATTCTGAAATTAAGTTATAATCATATATAATACATACTGTAGAGAGTCAATTATCTGAACTAATTGGGGAACATAGATGTTCCAAAAATCAGTTTTTTCATATAATCAAACTTTATTGATGTAGCAGTACATTTAGTATTGTGTTAATCATTCATTTTACAGGGACTTAATCAGTGATTGACTGAAAATGATTGAATCATTTCAATCATTCGTTCGTTTCAATACTTTTCGTTGCTGTTTAAAACAAATAACACGTAACTGATTAATTGAGCTGAATCGACTGAAAATCGATAGTATTGCTTATCATTCTTAGATTCTTAAGAAATATTCGAGAAGCTAGAATTTATTATGTTTTTATAGTTAGGTTCTTAGTATAACTCAAAAATAATTATAAATTTATATGGAAATATTTATTGCATCCAAATATAAATATTTATTGTCATTGTGCAAATTTTAATATTGCGATATTTTATGATTTTAAGTACTTAATAACTATTAACAACATAAGCTAAAGCAATCGCTTGGGCCAGATAGAATATTTTTTAACACCAATACTCTGGTCTGAAGCTAAGTTGCTGCCTTGCACGCAATTTTTAATTCCATATGTAGAATTTTAATTTTTCAATCCTTCAAACGCATGGCATATGATTCGCAATTGAGGAATGACAGGACAGAGGACCGAAAGTAATGGGAGTAATGGCTGTTCGATTTTGTTTTGGTTTATCTCGATAGGCGCTGTCAGCGGCCGATCAATAGATTTTTGTCACCATATGATTGGATCGTTATGAACTAGTGGGATTCGGTTGTTCAATACTTTTAAGTGATTGAATCAAAACGAACGAATCAATGGCGATTGATAGAACTATATTTAATGACAAATAGGAACCAAACAAAAAAGTGCTGTCTTTTCAACAAAGTATATTCTAGATACAATATTGACAAAAATTGAAGTTTTTTAAGCGTTATTTACCAACACTTAAAACATCTTCAGTTCTTGTCCGCTAAAGTAAGTCTACCCATTTACAAGTGGCTAGGTCACATAGTTTTTTAAGAACAGGTCTTTTTCATTCCAACATGGATAAGTTATGGCGTTATCAAAAAGCAATAATGTTTTCTCTTTTACCACTTTTTAATTGATGGGTTTTAAAACAGGCTATAAAAGTTTCTATAAACAATTCCTTGAAGATTATAATGATAATTATATTATCCATCAAAGCACTCTTGCAAAGTGTATACAATAGGCTTCACAGACATATTAATCTGTTTTAAACAACATGGTTTCTTACCTTTACCATTGAGGCATGGGCAATTAGTGCCTGTGAGTTGTATTAGCACAATCTAACGCAGTAATACGGCCCTTGGTTATTTTAGGTCCAGGTCATCGAGCAATAAGACAAAAGAGGGAATGTAAAGATAGTGGGGGCAAACATATTGATAGACAGGAAGTGCTATTTTGAGAGGCCACTTTAAACAAGGAAAGAGAATCTGTTTCCTTGTTTAAGAAATCAAATTTAGTTGGGTTATGTTATTGTTGATGTTATTGTTTGTCAAAACTGTCACATGAAAGCTTATTTATATTTTCTATTGAAGTTTTTTAACAATTGTTAACATTTTAGACTATTATCGTTAATAATTAATTAAAACTTTCTCTTCTAAGACACATTCTGAAAAATATGTAGCTACTGTTAATAAGTGTCGGAAAATTTAAATTTAGCGCATTCACATTTCCGGATATGTCCGCCATCAGAGGCCACTTTTTTGGTCTCCTTTTCATAACGATTAGATTCCCTCTTTTGTCTTATTGCTCGATGGTCCAGGTGCTGCTAATTCATGATTTTTTTTATAGTTAATTTTTCATGACAAAACTTTTCAATTTATCCCAGTTTCATTTACGATGTAAACATTTTGAAGGATGTAATTGTCTTTCTTCAGTAACACACTTATAAATTTAATCTGCTGCTGATGAATCAACTCAGTTTTTATACTTACATTTAAAGCTAATGAATATTAGCTCTAGCTCTGAAAAAAATAAAGCTCTTGACTTAAATTGTTTTAACCATCCTGTGCTTGATTAAAAATTTGAGGGCTCTGCAGGTCTTTCGTTGAATTGAACTGCTTTCTGACACAGAATCAGATCAGAAATAGGTTCTCCCTTGCATCTTTTTCGAGTAAATCACTTATATACATATTTGTATATATCATGAGATATGAAATACGAGTAATATGCATATATCAATCATAATAATATTTGCAAACAAGTAAATTATATTTTGATGTTCTGAAACTATTTTCATGCAAAACTTTACACATATTATCTGATATATTTTAGGAATAAACAACAATAATTGTAATTAAACTTTCATATTTTGATCATTTTAGCAAGATGTGGAGGAACTTTGGAAAAATCAGTAATGGCTTCATAATATGTATTTCATATCTATAACTATATATATATATATATATATATATATATATATATATATATATATATATATATATATATAAAGGAAGAATGATCACAGCTGTCTAATTATTAATTAGTATAATGGTAAGGTTAATTGGGTTAGCAGCTGAATAATGAAAGCCAAAGTGTGCTCTTTTCAACGACTTCGTTATATTTCGTTAAATTTCTTTAACATCTTCAGACGAATGCTACAATATGTTACAAAATGGTGAAATTGTGTATTTTACATAAGATGTAGTGAAACACTTACTTGTGTGAGGTTGCAGGCAACAGTGGTATTTGATACAACATTTGATCAACATGGAACTTTCAAATACCACTGTTGCCTGCAACCTCACACAAGTAAGTGTTTCACTACATCTTATGTAAAATACACAATTTCACCATTTTGTAACATATTGTAGCATTCGTCTGAAGATGTTAAAGAAATTTAACGAAATATAACGAAGTCGTTGAAAAGAGCACACTTTGGCTTTCATTATTCAGCTGCTAACCCAATTAACCTTACCATTATACTAATATATATATATATATATATATATATATATATATATATATATATATATATATATATATATATATATATATATATACAGTCCTCTCTCTCTATAACGATATGCAAGGGACCGGGAATTTTCATCGTTATAAGGAGAGATCGTTATACAGAGAGAGACAAAATTCCGTACTGTAATATTAACCATACTGTACTAAATAAATTATTTTATTTAAAGAATTATCAAAACGAATCTAAATGAATTAGCATTGGATTCCACATAGATTTATTAACGAATAATATAAGCAATACAGTATAAAAAATGACTGTACAATTAAAACATGTGTACTGTACAATAAAAAAATAGAATGCTACTGTAAAATATATTTAGCCTACATTATCAAAAACATCTGTCACCTTGGTCTGTCTTCTTTTCCCTTTCCATAGAACTGACCTGACCTTGTGCTGAAGACGCATCGAATCTTCCGCAGCACTCATATCGTCTTCCTGGTGGATGAAAAATTGATGCAGTACTTTCGCCGCATCCAATTCCTGCTGAGGGGTCGGAGCTGGTTCTGGCACTGCTTCCACTTCAGAGTCACTGTTTTCTTCTTCTTCTTCTACATGAACTGCTTGCAGGATGTCCTCGTCAGAAAGTCCATATGTTGTAGCTACATTTTTATCAACTTCTTCAAAATCTGTTAGCTCTTTCGGTCCGTAGGTGATAGTAAGTTCAAACTGTCTGGCCCAAACATTTAATGGCAGGTCATCTTCATCATAACTCAATCCTTGATCTTCAAGCCATCCTGCGTGTTTGAAGGAATGTTGTATTGTATTGCCCGTCACCTCGTCCCAGGATTTACTAATCATTAGGATGGCGTCAAGAATGTTTAGTTTAAGATCGCCATTATTTCTTCACACTTTCTTATCGCTTCTTCAAAAATTTCCGAGGTCATCCACGCACTCTTGTTTGCCTTATATGTCATCGGTAGATTTTTTATGTGTTTAAAGCAACACGGGTTTTTCGACTTCCCCATCACTAACAATTTTCGCTTCACCGAACCTGTCATGTTAGCGGCTACTAAAACTGTAATGAGTTCCTTAGAGAGCTTTCCACCAACGCACTTTTCCAATTTAAATTTTAAAGTTCTATTGGGTGTTTTCAGTGTTTCAGGCCACACGTTTTCTAGCCAATGATTCGTTACGTTTTTGTTAACATCGCGAGCCTCTCCGCTGATTTGCCCGTAGTTGATCTTGTGCCGCATCTTCCACTTGCTCAGCTAACCCTCAGATACCTTAAAATTATCAATTCTAAGTTCAGTTGCAAAAAATTTAGCTTTTGTCCTGACCACAGGCCCAGAAAGTGGAATATGGTTCATACGCTGCTGCTGGAACCACTGAAGCATAGCGCGATCTAAATCTTCGTGCTGAGGTTTCCGAAACTTTTTCCTGCTACCGTCCTCTATCTCCGCTTTATGCCAATTTTTTCTGTCCTTTCTAGACCCCTCCGGCGAACGACATCCGATTGCTTTTCACCTTTCTCTATTGCTCGAGTTATCGATAGCTTTCCTCCACCGAGAGCACTTTACGCTTTTTCGAAAACATGTTGACTGTTGGCACACTAAGACACAACTCAAACTGGAAATGAAAAGTCGTCAATAGATGACAACATCTGTGTGATAACAGTTAGTTCCGCCGCCCGAACAATAAACGTGAGTCACTTAACCCTCTGATAAGAAAGAGTATAGGCCGCATTCCTTAAGCGCAAAACAAAACAACCGCTGGACAATGACCTCTTCATTCGTGACTTAGGTAGTCTGAACTTTAAACACAATAACACATCTGATTTGTCGTCAACTATTGAACGCTAAAAAGTTATCGCTATAAAGAGAGAACGATATCGGTATAGAGAAAGAATTAATACATTGTTCTTATGACGAACCAACCAATGTTTACTATTTTCAT